CATCGCAAAGGAAGTAGAGGCTTTGATTTGGCTCGCATGGGTGCTGAACTTTGTGGTTTGCTGTGTGAAGCTTTCCTGATATGCCAAAGTTGGACCACATTGCTTTGTTCGTGCTGGCGCCATCACTGATTACTGCGACGACTATGGCGTTGTGTTTGCGTAGCTGCACGATTGCATCAAGAACTATTTTGGCGAGCACGTGTCCGGGGGCTGCGTTTTTTGTTGCAAAACTTGCAATCGGTTGAACCCATGAGTGGAATAGAGGCACAAACATTGCAACCAATGCATGATCAGCAGTAGCTGCTGAAACTTCACCGTCTCCGTAATTTACGAACCCATCAATCTTGTATGTTTGACGGTTGAAAGCTACGGCTTGGCGTACCTTCATTTCATCTATTACTAGTGTGCCGTAACACTGGACTCCTTTCATAGTCTTCATGAAAGCCCCTATGCTGGAAAGGGAGAGCTTATTAAAGCCAAACTCACAAGGCATTCCTCTTATTATTTGTCGGAGCCTAGTCGAAGTTGGAAGAGGGAGGATTTTCATTCTTGACATCAAGCGGTACACACGTGGGCTTGAAATCTTCAAGAGAAGGCAACTCAGCAGCCACCCACAGTCATACCGCACACCTCTTGAAGATTTCGCTTTCATCGACTGCAGTGCTGTCCGAAATGCAAGTTGCTGCAGTGGTGGAAGTTCAGCTAAAACCTCGCTCAACAGTGCATTGCTTGGATCTGATGACAACTTTTTTTCAAGCTTAGCAGGTCCCTCTTGTATTTCTCCCGCAGCACTGTTGCTCTTATAGTCTTCTTTCTTAAATTTCTCAACAGCGCAGATGGCAAAGGCACGTACTTGCTCTTTCTTGAACGTCGTTTCTGCCTGCACTGCAAGTTCTTTTTTGCTTTCCTGCACTGAACGCATAAGGCTTTCGCCGACAGCACTGCACATCGCTTGCTTCTCCATGTTCTCCCAGACCTTTCAGCCGTCTTAGAAGTTGATATTAAAGGACATAAACGAGAATCAAAACCATTGCAGATACCCAGGCTCTCAATGAGATGAAGAAAGGGCGCTGCGTCTTTCAAGGTGGTAAAATTGAGCTTGTCACTGTTAATAAAGGTGTAAGACGATTCCGGCACAAGTTTCCCTTTAGCGCTGACAACAACGGTCGAGTTTTTGTTTATAACGACAGCTCTTTCAATAAAAACTACGCCACCAATTTCTTGAAGTTTGTAAAAAACAACACGCTCATCCGTGTGTTGCACACACCATGCTCCATACACGGGCAAGTCTTCTATGCCACCAAACCAATGTTCACCTGTGGAGCTTTCTTTCATGATGACTTCCATGCTTTCAGCATTTGAGGCAGCCCTGTTTTCGTGTTCAAGCATTTCAGTGCACGTCTCACTTTCACTCTGAAGAACTGGGGTAATGTCATCTTCGGCCACTAGCACGCTTGCTGCATTTGTGCCAACATTTTCTACACAAAGCTTCAAATCAAGCTCAGCGCAATTAGCAAAATGCCGCGGTACCGCACCTTTCTTCAGTTCCCAGCGTCCTCGCGGAATCGAGACTGTTTCGCCATTCACAACATGCTGGAAGGAGGTGCAAATGTCCGCTTCATCAAAGTGACGATCACATATGTATGATCTTTGAGTAACTTCGAAGTTTGCACGGCCTGCCGCATTGTTCCACTCCCTCAGCACATTGGGGTCTTTCGGTGGCTTGAAAAAGTGTCGCTGCACGAAGGGCACTTCATTTGACGTTGCCGATGAATATCCACTTCGACAGCCTGGCACAGCACACCTCGGCATGCCGACCGTTCTCCCGAAGGGAGCAAAATTCAACCGCGAACAATTGCTTGCTCAGAGTCACCGTCCGCTTTCTCTCCAGAAAGCAGAACAGCGTAAACATTATCGTCTGCTCTGTCATGGTTGAAATTTAATGCATAAGGTCTGTTACGAAACAACGAGCCAGCCTTTTTTTTATATTTAGGTTACTTAACGATGAGTACTCACCATTATTACCAGCAGGGAAAAAATCGTCTGCAAGCGCAGGCCCTGCTAGCCGCGTCGCTGCTCCGTCTGCTCCGCGCGATGCCGGCTGCGCGGCGGAGAGGTCACGTGACGTGGTCGCAAAGCGATGCCAGCGACACCTGGAATGGGCGACGATTTGCGGCCGCCTCCTCGCGCGAGTTTTCCAACTGTCCTCATCCAGTAACGTTGGTCATCACACCTCCCCATTCTAGCCAACGTTTATAGATATCTACTAATATATTAATATATACTAATATACTATATTAGTATATATTAATATATTATATTAATATATACTTAATATATAATTAATAATATAGTATATATTAATATATACTAATATATTAATAAACGTTGATTCTAGCCACCCTACCCAGGTACCATTCATCACCGTGATGATGGATGGATGAAATCATGGCTATGGTTCCTCCATGCTGTACACTTTAGATTGGGCGGTGGCTAGCGCCACCAAGCCGTGATACTTAATGAATCAAGAACTAGATTTATTTTTTTTTCTTTAAAAAGTAAGTTTAAGGATTCATACTTTGTAGTGAAGGGTTTAATTTTCACTCGTGCCTTGACTTTAGCCACCAATCAGATAACCTCCTTTCAGTTAAATCTACCCGCATAAAGTCTATTTTGCCCTCCCCGTCCCTAAACCCCAGTGCTTTGAAGAACTCTGCGCCATCATCCTGAACTATAGGGTTTACAGAACATTATCCTTTACCCTTTACAGAACATTATCAAGTGTTCGGCAGTTTCTTCTTCCTCTCCACACGCACTGCATACTGTGTCTACCCCTTCGTATTTGGCCGATATGGTTCGCAGTACTCCCGTCCTGGCCTCAAACAGTAGAGAACTACCCCGAGTATTATCATAGATCCTTTCCTTGGCAATTTCTTGCTTAAAAGTTCGATAGATCTCTAGTGCGGACTTCTTAATCATGCCCATTCTCCTCATGTCAGTCTCCCTTTCCTTCACTTTTTTTCTTAACCGATAGTTCTTTTTGGTTTGGCCACCTGCTGTTTTCTAAGTATTTAGCAGTCAATTTCCTGGTTGGCTTCCTGCATTTTGTATCGACATTCTTCATGTACAAGTAGCTGAAAACCTTCCTAGCCCAACGCTCCTCCCCCATTTCTCTCAATCGCTTCTCAAATTTTATCTTGCTGCTAGCTTCCCTGCACTCAAATGATGTCCATCCCATATCACCTTGAACTCCCTGATTTGGTGTATTCCCGTCAGCTCCTAAAGCAAGCCTACCTATTCCACATTGCTTAATTTCTAATCTTGCTTGAACTTCTGATCTCATGCACAAGACCGCATTGCCGAACATCAGCCCAGGAACCATGACCCCTCTCCATATTCCTCTCAAAACATCATACCTATTGTAATTCCACAGTGCCCTATTTTTCATCACTGCTGCATACCTGTTATCTTTAGTCGTCACGTATATTTAGTGTTCCCTCAGGTACTCGGTCCCATTGCTTATCCATACGCCCAGATATTTGTATTTATCTGTTATCTCTAGCGTGACCTCCTGTATTCTAAGCTCACTTCCTTCGTTGTCATTGAAAATCATGACTGTTGTTTTTTCCTTACTGAATCTGAAATCTAACCTATCTCCCTTATTACCGCAGAAGTCCATCAATCTCTGCAAATTGTTTTTGTTGTTGGCCATTAGCACTATATCATCTGCGTACATTAATGCTGGTAGTGCGCCTGATCAATGAGCTTTCCTTGTTTGCCTAAAGAGAGGTTGAAGCCCAGTCCATTTCCCTCTAATTTGGCCTCTAATCCTTGTAGGTACATCATGATTAATAAGGGTGACAGGGAAGACCCCTGCCTAAGTCCCCGTTTTACCTCTGCAGGCTTGGATACCTGTTTTTCCCACTTTATAACTACCTTGTTACCTTTATAGATATCCTTTAAAAGATTAGTGACTACATGTTCCACGCCTAGAGTGCCCAGTATTCCCCACAATTCCTTTTGAACCACGCTATCGTACGCTCCCTTGATATCCAAAAATGCTAGCCCTGTGGGCGTGTGTTCCTTTTCTGCTATTTCGATGCACTGCGTCAGTGAGAACCGATTGTCTTCCAACCTCCTGTGTTTCCGAAACCCATTCTGCAGTTCCCCAGCACCCCCTCATCCTCTATCCATGCCTGCAGTCCTTCCTTTATAATCTGCATCGCCAGCTTGTAGACCTCTGATGTCAGTGTTATAGGACGGTAGTTGTTTATGTCAGCTTTGTCCCCCTTTCCTTTATAGATCATGCTCATCCTGCTAAGTTTCGATCCATCGGGAACTTCACCATCGATTATTATTTTGCTCACTGCCTCTCTCAAAGCCTGCTTAGACCTCGGACCTAATGTCTTTATCAGCATAATTGGAATGCCATCTGGGCCTGTTGGTGTACTACTAGGAACCCTTTTCTCAGCCCTTTCCCACTCTCGTTGTAAAAATGGAGCCATTGCACCACTTGATTCGTTCTTGTCTATTGTGGTGCATAAAGTATTTCTTTGTTGAAATTTTTCTGTCACCCTTGTTCTTATATATTCAATAGCTTCGTCCACTTCTAGCCTAGCACCTTGGGCTGTAGTTATAAAACTCTGCTCCAGGCTCGTGTCATTTCTTAGGGAGTTTAGATGGTTCCAAAATTTCGCAGCTGCTTTTCTATCTTGTTTTTTTTTTTGTACTTCTGCCAGCCACTGAGCTCCCTTTCTTCTAATCTTTTCAGTGATCAGAAGAGATGCATCCCTTCTACAGCTTAGAAAGGTTTCCCCTTTCTTTTCAACATCATCTGTGGGTTCACCCTGCTGCCACAGTCCCTTAATAGCACTCTGCTGCTGCTTAACGGGGTGAACCGACAGATGATGTTGATAGTGTCGCCGCGAGTGCCACCGCGCGGAGCTCGTTTAAAACTGAAGGCAGGCCGCTGGGAGCGCGAGCCATTCCTCAGGCATCTTTCTAGAGTAGCCGTTGCCGTTGGTTAGGTGTTCTGTGTCTAGGTTGGATAAGTTAGTTCACAACGCCACCGCAACCCATATTTTTGTTGCCTGTTGACTGGTACAGTTTCCCTTCTCCAATTGGTAGTGTATAGGTGTTCTGTGGTTATAGAATTTCTAGGAGGCGTTGTCCGAAGGTACAGTTACAGTTGGTTGCCTAGTATAGGTGTTCTCTGGCCGTAGCTTGTAGTGTATCATTAAGAGGACCAACTTTGTTGCGGTTCATTGTGTGCACCACCTTTGTGAGATGTTCAAGCGAAAGCTGACCGCACTGGGATTCAACAACACCGACAATTTCAACATTCAAAGTAAGTTCTCGTGTTATTGCTCGCTACATCAAGCTTCGGTTCGAATACATACTGAGCGCTCTCAAAAAGAAAAGAGAGAGAGAGACGAAAGATGCCTCAACGGCTCGAACCAGCGCACAGCAGTTCTTACATCAAATTCTCGCACGTGCTACTTGTACTGCTTATCCTGATCGATGGCTGGCTCACGCATCTTTCGTTCTCTCTTCTGGTGTGGAAGAAGGCCAGGATCATATTTCGGGCTTTTTGTGCCAGGAAGGTACACATTATTCTTTCGTCCTACGTATTTTATTTAATCTTTTTTTTTTTCGGTTTTTGAACGCTTAGCCTGTTATACTTTGGTGGTGCATGCTGAGGCATTTAATTTGTTTTTCTTGAAGGCTCAACATAACTTTTTGTGAACGTTGTGAACATAATTTGTTTGTGATGTAAAAGTCAGATTTTTAGGTACTAAAAATTGCATTTTGGGCGCCAAAAACGAGCAGGAAACGCACAGTAATGGGCCCCCAAACTTGTAAATATAGGCACAACAAATTTTTACTGAAAATTCAAATTTTAAAGAAGACGTGCGCGACTTGTGTATGACACGAAAGCGAGGAAAAAAAAGTTAGATTCAATATTTGATTGAGCTTGATCACATGTACTGATAATTGTATTGCTCTCTCTCTCAAAACCTGCATATATACTTACCTGAAACAGAACACTGGCTTTACGTTATTCATCCTTCTCTAAACGTGAACAAGTGTTCATTATTAGTATTTCCTATACAAGACCCAGTACGTATATGTCTCGCTTACTGATATGCCGCAAGTTCAAAGCACCAAATATGTAAGAGTGATATATGACGGCTCTCGTTTATAGCGAAAACACATCGAATATATTGCAGCAAAGGGTGTTCGGGCAGCTGGGATATTTCGGAGGATAAGCAACAGGAAATCGGGAATAGAGCCAGGTTATTATCAATATACCGCATGTATGCGAGACCACTTCTAGAATTTGGGTGTGTAATATACTTCACGGCAGCTTTTTTATTGTTCTAGACAAGCAGGCACTGCGCATGTGCTTAGGGCTACCTAAATTTGTAGTGAACACTGTTTATTTATTATTTATTTATTTGTCAAATACGGTCAACACCTCTAAGTCCGTTACAGGAAGGGGGCCAAGAGGTACACACGGTAGTACAATGTACAATAAATGAAACTAGACATTGATAAGAAGAACCAAAACAACGAAGTTTGGCAAGTCTCATAATCAGGGAGAAAATGGTTACAATGTACGCTGCATCAAACTGCACATTATTAACGACAACCAAAGCAACAAACAATGTGTAAGCCTCGTACTCAAGATATGAAGAAAAGTTAAAAAAACATTACAGTTGTAGAGTACTTAATAATCTTCTACCTTTTCCACGAAACTCTCTATGCTATCCATGACAATAATATCTTCGGGCAATGTGTTTCGTATTTCACTAGAAGCCCCCCAAAAATTGCAAATTTGAATGAGTTGCGGCATGTGACGTATTGCTTGAGGTACTTCCCATGACAATTTCTGCGCCATTGGCGATGAGGTGGTTTTAAGTGCTCATGCTTATCTATGTTTACACTATTATTATAAAACAAGAAAAGAAATTTTATTGCTGCCACTCTCTGCCGGCAAGCAAGCGTAGGAATTCCTGCGGCATTTTGAAGAGCAGTGGTGCTATCCTTTCGACAATATTTTGAAAAGATAAAACATAGTGCTTTATTTTGGATACTTTCTATTCCATCTGCAAGGTATGCTTGGTGGGGATTCCAAATTATACGGTCATATTCAAGAAGTGGACGCACTGAAGTTTTATAGGCTGTTAATTTGACAGATGCGGGAGCCGCAGCTGACCTGTGCAGAAACTCGAGTGTTTTGAATGCTTTTGTACATGTGTTTCCAATGTGACCGTTGCACTTTAAGCTGCTTGTGATGGCTTTATGCAAAGATTTCTTAGAGTCCGTTCATGTGATATCAGAGATTGCAATTTTATCAATGAATGTAGGAGGTAATCTTTAATTACCAATAGTCATGCACATTGTTTTGTTGACGTTTATTTCTATACCAAAAGTTGCGCACCACTCAGTATTTTTATCTTCAAGACCCATTAAGAAACTTCTAATCGTCAACACTAGGCATACAGATTTACATAACCAGATCATCAGCAAATAAACTCACTTTCACACCTTCTTTAACAAAATTAACAATGTCATTGATATAAATAAGGAGCAATAGGGATCTTAGCACTCATCTTTGTGGTATCCCCGAGTAGAATAAAGGTAAGTCAGCATTAGTATTAATACTTGTGACATATTCTGTTCGATTGCACAGATAGACAGTACTCCAGGCCATTCACTTTGGTTCAATAACAATAGACTCAAGTTTCTTAATTACCTTAAAATGCATTACGCAGTCATATGCTTTTGAGAAATCTATGAATATGGCATCAGTTTGATACCTATCGTTAATTGCTGAAGCAAAGTCTTTAGTTATCTCTAAAAGTTGTGTTACGGTGGAAATCTGCATATTGTCTTGGAAATGTACTAGATATGCTATCGGGACTGGGCGTTTCCTTGGTATAACTTTCTAAGGGCAAGTTGAACACACCAAACTCTGTAATCACAACCTCTTGCATAACAATTAAAGGCTCAGCCAAAGGCGTGCTTATCGTGGGTGAACAAGTGAATACGAACTGAAAATAATTATCAAACATATTTGTTTGCTATAACAACTTCACTTGTTACTACTGAACCATTTATTTCTGATTTACTTGCCCGATCCTCTGGTTTTGATAGATATCTCCAGAACTTTTGGGGTTGGTTCTTCATAAAATTCACTAAGGTATTTGAAAAGAAGTTTTTTTTGCAGTTCTTATCTTCGACTTTAAAGTCCATCATAGTTCACGTATGTCTTCACAGGTATTTCCTTTCTCATTCTTTTTAGTTTCCGTTTAAGGTGCGTGTTATTCAAGGAGACATATTTCTAATTCTGTTACGTTTTGTGGGTGTAAAGGTTGCTTCACAATAAATGATAGCTTCCTTGAATTTCAGCCACGATTCATTAACATTACAGCACGGCTCACTTGAAGCTTTCAATGCTTCGTCCAAATAATCTATAACGCTCTCATCAGCAGCACAGTTGTAATCTTTAATTTCAATACACAAGGGTTTAATACGATGGCTAGAGACCATATTTGTGCTACGTACTGGCAACATCAAAATCTTATGATCCAAGATCCCGTCATCCATGGTTATACTTGCTCCTGACACGAAAGCAAGGTGTGGCACTTGTGAGGTGTTTCCTTGTGCATGGGTCAGGTTCTTTGACAGTTTGAGATAATGAAAAATGGAACATTTTATCAAAAAGTTGCTCGAAACTTTGCTTAACCTTTGTTCCCACAGTTAAGTCTTCCCACCTTGTGTCCGGCAGGTTGAAGTCATCTGTTAGCATTATCTTTTGTCAGGCTCAGTAAAACGTCATGCACCTGCAAAAGGTAATCATCTGGTCTACTGGACATCTATAAATAGCTCCTATTAAAAGTGAAGTGTCCCGAAGCTTGTCCGTAACATGTAATCTCTTAATTTATTATGCCTTCTTCTCACGGTTTCCAAATCTGGAGAACCGAGCGATCGCGCCAGAACTACAACGCGGCACGTCGCGCAAACGCGCTGTTTCCTCGCTCCTAGCATAGCTCGTCGCTGTCACGTGCATTTTTGCGTTTATTAGGTTTGGCCTTGAGTGATTCTTTATAGCGATAGCCACTCCACCTCCCCACCAGTTACGATCTCTGTGTAACAGTGCGGAGAGGGACTACCTCTGAATCACATATTTCAAGATGAAGCTAGGTTTCTGTAATTTTGATAGGGTCTGGAGAATAGAGCAGTAACATTTCATCTAATTTATCAGCCTTGTTTTGTATGTGGGAGCTAGAATCCCCTCACTCGTCAAGAGATTCAGAATATTGGCTGTACAAGCATATGTAAGGGCTTTTGAGTCCCCTTGAAGGCGTAAAGAAACAGTTTTTATTGTGTAGCGTGTTTCTTTTTTTCGATTGTCATTGGCTTAGATTTCATACACCTCAAGTAAAGTTTGTACTATCTCTTCTCGATCTACTGTCCGTGCAAATTAGGGAGGTTATTCAAATTTGTAACTTGACAAAGTCTCTTCAAATATACTTTGATGACATTTTCTCTAAAAGTGCTAAACACCTACCGAGTAAATGTCAAGAATTACTTTACAGAACTATCTGCTAAGAATGCAAACAATTGTCATCATAGCAACAGACGTTTCACAGAGAGCTGAAAAGAGTGGCATCGGTATATACTACCCTGTTCTTAATTGGTCCCTTTCCCTCAGAATTCCAGATTCCACACCCATTTTTATTACAGAATTTTTAGGTGTAGTACTGGCCCTTCGAAAACTGACATCGGTTAATTCCGCCGTAATAATGACGGACACTTTATCAGTGTGGAGTGTGCTCACGGCGTCTGGTGATTCAAATGCATTGAAAGAATGAAATTCACTAGTACCTAATCACTCAACTAAAGTTCAGTTAGTATGGGTGCCGGGGCATATAGACTTAAATCTAAACGAAACGGCTGATGCACTAGCGAAAGTGGCGTTAGACAAACCAGCTATCAATATTACCCCTACAACAGCTTTTATGGCAGGGGCTAGATTCCGGAGGCAAATTATGATGCAAGAATTCTCTATAGCATCTTTTAAAAACTTTATTATTTAAGAAATTTTTATAGTTTACTGACACCCTGGAGAACTTCATGTCATAACAGAGGTCTTGAAGTTATAACCACTAGGTTACGCTGTCGTATTCCTCAAATAAGTTTTCTTTTTTATTCAGTGCAGGCTTTACTTCCCTCCCCTATTTGTCCTTTTTGTGGAGAAAAGGAAACTATAAAGACCACTTCTTGATCTCTTGTCGAAAGTTTTCTACATTAAGAAAAGATCTCGGGAAACGCCGTTAC